ATCTTTTCGCAAACAATCTTGTAAAATCTGTATTGATCTTCTCTATCAATATATATTTTAAATTTGAAAATTGTGTTTGTATTCATCCCCCCCCCCTTCTACAAACTGTTTAGTATTCTTGTAGACCCTTTAGGACCAACACCCCTCCCCTGATTTCCAAACTATATAGTGGTTGCTGATAACGCACACAGAAACAATAAAGCTGGTGTTTTTTTTTGGACTTGGAGGGAAGCATGCATATATCATATATATACACATTAGGGGATGAAGACACAAAAAATATACTTACTTAAAAAAGAAAAAAAGGATATATAAAATGAGTGGTAAAGGAGAGGCTACATACTATTCCAAGAGGAATTCTCAGCCACATCATAACTCAATTATAAATGAGTGGTAAGGGAGAGGCTACATACTATTCTAAGTTGCCCTACTTAACCAAAACTCCTCTAATTATACTTGGGCATTAAATTGTCTACAATCGTTAATGGAAGGATGTCTTTATCCACGTGTGATCGTCACAGATAGAGAGTTGGCATTGATGAAAGCATGCAATATTGTTTTTCCCAGTGCTAAAAGATTACTTTGTAGATGGCACATCTACCAAAGTATCATGAGAAATTGTAGACCAGCAATAACATCAAACCGTGCTTGGAGTTCCTTTTACAATACATGGGTGGCATTAATTGCTTCGGAATCAGATGAAACTTACCTCTCTAATTTCGTAAAACTTGAAGCAGTATTGCTCAGCTATCCAGGTACACTCGAATATATTGTAAATAAAAAATGTTGATAGGTTTAACAACTACTATTAATAGAATTGAAATAATTTTGTTCAATTTTTCAGCTGTTTTTGCTCATCTGAATGACACATGGTTGACACCATTTAAAGAAATATTTGTATCTGTTTGGACTGGCAAATTTCTCCACTTCGGAAATCGGACAAATAACAGAATGGAGAGCCAACATTCGAAGTTGAAAACTTACTTGGATTCTGCGCAATCAAGTCTATCGACATTTATGAGCAAGATCAATCAACTCATTCAGTCCCAAGATACADMAATTARAGCAAGTATTGAAGAGAGCAGAAGTGTCACGAAACATCTTCATCGCATACCACACTTCGAACAACTGTGTGGTTTTGTTTCACTTTATGCATTAGACATAATACTCCAAGAATATCGACATGCTCAATCAGTTGGCTTATTATCTGGAAATTGTAATTGTCTACTACGTACAAGTTATGGGTTGCCATGTGCGCATGAACAAATGCTATATTCCAACAAAGGTCAWCCTATCCCAATTGATTCAATTGATGTATTTTGGACGAAGCTTGATTTATCATCGTGCCAATCTTTACAAGATGATGATATTGGTTGTGAAAATGAAGTCCAAATATTTACCGAGGAATTTAAAAAACAATCGAGATATGGTAAGTTTAGTTTTCTAAGGAAGATAAAAGAGATAACCAATGCATCAAAAACGTGGGTTCGTGAACCAGTTGTTAACAAGACTACTCGTGGACGTCCCTCGTTGAAGGATAAACTTTTAAGAAAACCTCACGTTGATCCGTCTTTTACAGCTCATGTTGATCTGTCTTTTACAGCTCATGTTGATCCGTCTTTTACAGCTGAAAGACCCCTTACATGTAGCTATTCGAACGCATCATCATTTGTTGACTTGAATGAAATAAGCTACCAGGAACCAGTGAGACATAGTTCTTTCGTCAACAATAATTATAATGCGCATCCATATATTAATCAATTTCCTGAAATGTTTCACCCTTACATCAGACAGGTACATGATGTGGGAGGTGATGGAAACTGTGGATTTCGAGCAATAGCTGTCCACCTTGGTCTTCATGAAGATGCATGGCCAACAATTCGATTTAACTTGATGGAAGAGTTAGACGCATACAAGACATAATACCTCAACATATTTGGAAGTCAGTATTGGAATATAGTTTACAATATTTTAAACTTCTTTCAATTATATCGAGGTGCCCCAGTTAAACATTGGATGACCATGCCTGAAATTGGTGTCCTGATTGCTTCAAAGTATAATGTGATCTTACACGTTATATACATTACAGGTTGTTCAACATACTTACCGCTTAGGTCTACTCCCCCACCATGGTATAAACATGTAAGTTTTGCAATTGGGTACGTTAACCGTAACCATTATGTGAAACTAGACTTGGCAGAAGGATACCCGATCCCTACTATTACTCCACATTTTTTTCATTTCTG